AAACACTTGAGAAGGAAACAAACAACAGCCAGCAGCAGCAGCTGCAGCAGCAGCAGCAGCTGCTGCAGCAGCAGCAAGTGCAGCAGCAGCAGCTGCAGCAGCAGCAAGTGCAGCAGCAGCAGCTGCAGCAGCAGCAAGTGCAGCAGCAGCAGCTGCAGCAGCAGCAGCAGCAAGTGTAGCAGCAGCAGCAGCAGCAGCAGCAGCAGCTGCAGCAGCAGCAAGTGCAGCAGCAGCAGCAGCAACTTACTGGCCAGAAGGTGCACATTTTGGTTTTGGCCTTGGGGTGGGCCAGCGGGGAGTTGTAAGCAGCAGCAGCTGCTGCTGCATAAGGGCCTGCTGCTGCTGCTGCTGCTGGTGCTGCTGCTGCATAGGGCGAATGGCCCGGGTAGCCGCCGTAAGGTGCTGCTGCTGCTGCTACTGGAGCTGCTGCTGGTGCTGCTGCTAGGTATCTTGACTGGTGATACATTGCTGCTTCTGAAGCAGCAGCAGCAGGATCAGTTGCTGCTGCATACGGCAGCTGCCCGTACGCTGCAGCAGGAGCAGCAGCAGCAGCAGCAGCAGCAGCAGCAACTGAATACTGTGGGGCCCCTTGCTGCGCCCCATAGCCGTCTAAATCCCCGTAAGGATTGACATGCCCATAGGCTACATGCTGCTGCTGCAGCTGCTGCTGCTGCAGCTGCTGCTGGTGCAGCTGCTGCTGGTGCAGCTGCTGGTGCTGCAGCTGCTGCTGCTGCAGCTGCTGGTGCTGCAGCTGCTGCTGCTGCAACTGCTGCTGCTGCAGCTGCTGCTGCTGCAGCCGGTGGTGAGGGCTGGCGACCGTCGCACCTGTCACCGTGGGGTGTCAGCAGCAGCAGCAGCAGCAGCAGCAGCAGCAGCAGCATGTTCACATGCGCCCTTTTTGCTTCTGTCAGCTAAAGTGCCTTAACTCAAGTTGCAGCAGCAGCAGCAGCAGCAGCAGCAGCAGCAGCAGCAAACTCTCACCTGGTTGCAGCCAAGACGAATACGCCCCAACGCCTCCTGCAGCAGCAAAAAACAACCCGTTTGCATCACTCCAGCAGCAGCAGCAGCAGCAACAGCAGCAAAACCAGGAGCAGCAGCAGCAGCAGCAGCAAAAGTAGCAGCAGCAACAGCAGCAGCAACTAACCCATCTTGTAGTCCACGTTCACTCCCGTAGCGGAACTCGGTCGGCTTCCATAGGTAAGGTGCGGCTGCTGCTGCTGCAGGTGCTGCTGCTGCTGTTGCTGCTGCTGCTGCTGCTGCTGCTGTTGCTGCTGCTGCTGCTGCTGCCGCTGCTGCTGCTGCCGCTGGCTCGAAGAGGAGTGAGGAGTCGAATGGGCAAATGGGCAATTAATGCCATTCTTGCAGGAGCCCTGATCGCAAACCCTAAACCCTAAACCCTAAACCCTAAACCCTAAACCCTAAACCCTAAACCCTAAGATCTGGCAGCTCCACGCCTCAGGAGTCAGCTGCCAAAAGCACCGACTGCAGCAGCAGCAGCACACGTGCAGCAGCAGCAGCAGCAGCAGTATGATGAATCGAATGCAGCAGCAGCAGCCCAAGCAGCAAAGGTACAGCAGTAAGACCAGCAGCAGCAAGAGCCGCAGCACAAGCTGCTGCTGCCGCAGCAGCAGCTGCAGCAACACGGCGCCTTGCTGCAGCAGCAGCAAAAACATGCTGCTGCAGCTGCAGCGGCAGCAACACCAGCAGCCACACCAAACCCCGCCGCAGCAGCAACACATACAGCAGCACCAGCAGCAGCAGCAACACGTCTCGCAGCAGCAGCAGCAGCAACGCAAACTGCAGCAGCAACAGCAGCAGCAGCAGCAGCAGCAGCAGCATACCATGAGGAAATTCTTGCATTGCTGCGTGGCCGGGGTGATGCTGTCTTCAGAAGAGTGAATGAAAGTGCAGCTTTCCCCGGCGGGGCAGTAGCCGCTCTGCAGCCAAACCCTAAACCCTAAACCCTAAACCCTAAACCCTAAACCCTAAACCCTATTGAGAGAAAGGTGATGAAGTCTAAAGGCCAAGATGAAAAGAGGTGAGTTTGCTGTGGCCCCGCAATGTCTAGGGTTTAGGGTTTAGGGTTTAGGGTTTGCTTGCCTTCATAAGTAAGCCTCAGGGGAACAAACTTCGCAACGTCAACATAATACTCGGGGTTTGCTGCTGCCCCATCTGCTGCTGCTGCTGCTGCTGCAGCTGCTGCTGCTGCTGCGTCTGCTGCAGCATCAGCCTCGCGGGCGTCCGCTGCTGCTTGTTCTGCTGCTGCCTGCAGCAGCAGCAACAGCAGCAGCAGCACGAACGCCCGCACAATTTAAATCATATCCTCCAACATTTCCGATAACAAATTAGGGTTTAGGGTTTAGGGTTTAGGGTTTAGGGTTTCAAAGGTGCCCACGCGCAATTCCCCAGAAAAGCAAATCTGCGCAGCAGCTGCCCTCATGCTTCTAAACCCTAAACTTTAAACCCTTAAACCCTTAACTGTAAACCCCCTACCCCAAAC